TTGATCTCCAGTGTTCAGCAGTCTTCACCTGAACAGTAAATCTGGGACTGTTTCCTTTGTTGAAAAAAGTCAACTATGAAGAAAATGTCAGCTGAATTAAACAGTAGGCTTTGGTGAAGTTAATTTTCATTCTGGTGCAAGATTCCTATCTAATCATAGCAGCAGGGATACCAGGCCACAGAACACACCAGGTAGCACTTGCTTATAATTCAAGGCTCTTTCCAGATTGCCTGAGGCTGGCATTCCTGTGTACAGCTTTCAGTCATTGTTCTCATAAATGTTGAACTGTGAGGAGGCAAAGCTTTGTGGGCTGCTTTTGAGGCTTTATGAAGTCAGTCTTCATCCCCAAAAGGCTGAATTTAAGTAGTCTCGTGACTAAGGCCATGTATTAGCTTGCAGGTTATTGTAACTAAGGACCTGAGATAGTCAGCTTACAAGGAGGAAGTGTTTACTTGGGCTCAGAGATCTCAGTGCAGAGTTGCATAGACTTACCTTGTGTTTGTAGCAAAGCAATAGAACATCTAGGAACATGTGGCAGGGAAAGCTGGCCCCTTGCAGCAGCCAGGAAGTGAAAAGACAGGAAGAAGAGGGACCAGGCTCCCAATATGGACTCAAAGGCCACGCCTCCAGGGCCCTAACTTCCTGACACTCACTCCCACCTCCTGAAGGGTTCATGGACTCCCTGTAAAGCTGCAGGCTGGGGACCAGGCCTGTAATACGTGGGCTTTTGGGGGCCATTTCTAAACCATGCTAGCTGTCTATTCCCTGGATTTCTCTGTTGTAAAAAGGATTCAAAACCAGACCCAAGACATGGAAATCCAAATCCAGCCAATAGCCAGAAATTAAGTCCATTTAGGCCTAGGACAGCCCCTTCCTCAGATTCCTCTGCTTTTCTGATAGTCCTCTGCCATCTCCCTCTCTCAACTGAGGGGACAGAATGCAGGCTTTCTGCATTGAAATTAGCATGGAGGGAGACTGGAAGAAACTGATTCACAGGTTCATCCTGCTTCTGCTCTAAGAAACTTATTTGGAGAAACATAAATTCAGGGGTAGGATAGGAAGAATTCAGTGGCTGCTGGTGGTGACAGGCTCTTGCTTGCCAGCCTGAAGCCAAACTCAGACTAAGATGATTTTAGAAGATTAAATGAATATAATTAGTTAAAATACATTTTATGGAAAAAATATTCCTTTTAAGGAGAAATATATCCCCCTACATTTGATAAAGACATCTCTGTTTTTAAATATTAGGATGTCGGGGCTGGGAAGATGGCTCAGTGGAATAAGCGCTTCCTTGGCAAGCACAAGGGCCTGAGTTCAATCCCTGGTTCTGAAGAAAAAAATTAGGGTGTCATGTAGACTTCACAAAGGATAGTCAAAACTTACATAAAGGTAGTTACTATAACAGCTTACAGGAAAATGCACCCTTGGGTTGTCATTTTTCCAAGAGTGTTTCCTTCCCTGCTCACTGGAACCAGACAGCAGGGGGCAGTAGTGAGCACCTAACCAGACCTCAGTGGAAACTACTAACCCGTGTCCCCTCTTGCCAGTGCCCTCTCCATTCAGCACTTATTTTTCTGTCTCCTGGTCGCCTGACTGGTAGTTTCCAGAAGTTAAATGTATGCTGTGTGGTTTTAACAGCAGACAAAAGCCCCAATCATAAATTCAATGCTACTTTTTCTCAGAGATTGCCTGGAGCTGTAGTGTGTTTGCAGGGTAGTGCTGAAAAACTTGCACATAGTTTCCTGCTCCGGGGAGCTAGTAAATCATAAGAGTGTAATCTCTGTTTTCTCTTTCTGCATGGTGAGAGGGCACAGCACATGGTTCCAGTATTCCTCCCGTGACTGCTTTCCATTGTTAGCGCGACGGTTTCCTTGCCTTTGAGTTTTCTAGGTCATCCTCAGCCTGGCATAGTTACTTAGTCACATTCTCCTTTGCAGCGATGAGTGTTGGGGGATGCGAGTGTAAATCATTGTTATCTTAACATGAAACAAGATTTTTAATGGTCAAGGTGATGCTTGTCTTACCTTTCTTTCGTCTCAGTTTATTCAGTGCAGTATTTTGTACTTAATGAAAGTTCAATAAAAAATTGTCTTAACTGGCCTGAATTACTATGTATAACTATGGAAATAATTGTATTATTAAATGATAAAAGGAAAATGTATCGCGGTGACTAAAGATATCATCTCATTGGTTTTCTTTTTATTTTTATTCAGAATGTAATGTTTTACATGGACACTGATTTTATATTTGACTACTTCCCAATGTGCCTCAGCAAAGCTTATGCAAGTTAAGTTGCCTTCTATTTGTATTCCAGGTTCTTGCAAAATAATTGTCTGTGTTGGCTGGAAGAGCCCAACTACAATAGACTCCTTTTGAACAATTTTAAATTACTTGAAAAACACTTTGGTGGCTTTAGGCATATTTATTTCTACCTCTTCGTTTCTGTACCGAGCCAAATATTATAGAAATTTCATGAAACAATTATGAACCGTGGAAAAACACATTTGTGTATTTTCAAAGGCTGGGATAATTCTTTACCTAAAAACCTTTAGGTCGCCAGTTACAATAAAATGTGTGTGGATGTTGATGTCTTTAAAAGAAATTCTCTGAAGCTTTCTTGTTTGTACATGGCAGTGCAGGGAAAGTCAAGCATGAGTGGTTTCTGCAGAAAGATTCTGAAGGGGACACACCTTCACTTATCAACTGGCCTTCCAGGTACCTCTCCTGAGACGCTGTGGCTTGTGTTCTATGAATGCGCTGCTCCTTCCCCTGACTGCCTTGTTCTGCACAAATTTGCTAATCCTGTCTGTCTTCTTGACCTGTTGAAAGGCAATATACTTGGAAATCCTGTATTTAAAAAAGTTGTCTAGTCGTTTGCTTCTCTTTTCCCTTTACTCTAATCCCTACTCATAGTGCTGCTTCCTTCCTCTGTTAATGTTACTGCACTTTCTCGCCTGCTCAGTAAAACTGTGCAGTAGGGGGCAGTAGTGAGCACACGTCTAGACCTCTTGGCCGCTGGTCCTTGAGATACTTACCAGTGTCCCCTCTTGCCAGTGCCTTCTCAGTTTGGCACTTTGGCCTCCTTGTTTTCCTGGCTCCATGTCTTTAAACCAGGGCATGTGGTTTTAACAGCAGACAAAAGCCCTTATCATTTCATTTTTAAGCTTGGGGGCAGGGAGAGGCGGAAGAAGCAGGAATGAATAAGTCCTTGGAAGCACAAAGCTCTGTCTGGAGTTCCCAACAGTGACCTTTGTTCTCTGCTGAGGACAACATTGAGATTGTCCCTGATTAGAGGAGCACATTTCACAAGAGAACTCAACTACATTTCAGTCCCTTTTTGATTAAAAAAAGGTTGTAAGTATGAGAACCTCCAGCACTGGATAGTTTCTGGGAAAAATGACAACCCAGAATGCTTTTCTCAAAAGTTGTTCATAGTAACTGCCTTTACTTAAGCCTTTGAGTTTGCTTTAGTGAAGTTTCTGTGAATACCCAAATATTTAAAAGCAGGCATCTTTATCAAATTTAGCGGGATGTGCTTGTCCTTAAAGGGACTATTCTGTTCCACAAAATGTATATCATAATTACCTCTGCTGACTCGTGAGGGTTCTACAGTTCCCCTAAGAAAGCACTTCTCCCATCCTGAATACCTCTGTGCTTCTTAAAGTCTGTATCCTATCTGTAGAGCTTGAATGGTTTCTCCTTTCTTACTCTATGGTATTTCAAAAAAGTCAAAGTACAAACTAGCTAACACAGTTAAATGCTCACTCTCTAGAGACTAAGCACTAAATCAAGAGCTTTGTAAACATCACATTACAGCTCTATTACTTCCATTTATATATTGAGGCACCAGAGATCAAACTCAGGTCTTTGTATATGGAAGGCAAGTGCTGTGCCGCTGAACTATGACCCCGGCCCACTTCCTTCCGTTTAAAAGGTGGAGCCCATGAGGATTAACAAAGTAAGCTGCTGGGGGCTCAGAGGACCCACACTAGAGTCTTAGGTTACTTCTACTCCTGCCATAGGGAAAGAGGCCTGTGGCTGTAGAAATGGTTTGCATTTTTTCTCTCAAATATTCAAATAATTTTACAAAGAATAAGAGCCATCTTTTGTTGATTACTTTTTAACTAAGGACATAACACCAATTCCAGAGGGGGGGAATGTTCACTTTATTAATTCTTTCAACAAATAGCTTTTCTCTAACACTGTTTGGGTTCCACTATTAGTAACGTTGTCCAAATTGGTCTCCTGTCTTTGGGGTAGATGGGTGTTGCCTGCATTGCATGAAAAGGCCTGTGAATGCTTCATTGAGTGCTTTGAAAGACAGACTCTCAGCCGGGGAGATGGCTCAGTAGAATAAATGCTTCCCTGGCAAGCCCAAGGGCCTGAGTTCAATCCCTGGTTCCACCAAAAAAAAAAAAAAAAAAAAAAAAAAAAAAAAGACAGACTCTCATATCCTGAGCTAAAAACTTTAAAAATTTAATAATCAGAAATGGATTTGCATCTCTAGGAGACAGTGAACTCACAGTGCTTGCCCTGTAGGTGTTTTCCTGGAGATACCACCTACGTGTGTCCACAGTCCACACCCTGCACCAGAACGTGCTGAGCGCTTCAGTGCACCTACACCAGGGTGTCCTAATGCCTGCCAAGGTGGTCGCTAATGAACCGCTGGGTGGCTCCTAGGCATTTGGTCAGTCCAAAGGAACCCATCCTCTTCAGGCTAGTGCCTGGCCCTTCTCAGGCTCAACATGGGGTGCCGTGAATTTGGTACCACACTGGCCACACGCGCAAATTTGGAAAGTTAAAACTATTGATGTAGCAAGTACTGAGTTTCTACATAAAACGCTGAAATAGCTTCCTGCAACTTGTACTCTGTGAATTGGTTACACTTCCCTGAAAGTCTGGCATCTGCACATGCTCTCCTCGCGTTCACAGTTACTGTCCATTGCAATTTAAACCCGCTTTCTTTCTGAAACCCTTTAAACCCTTTTTCTTTCTTAAAGAGTTAAAGTTAGAGAGAAACTGGTGAAAGAGGAGAGTGCTCGCGGCGGCCCTGAACTTGCCTCCGAATCCTTCCCTCAGAGGAGACACCAAACAGTCCATTACCTGTCCTTTCAGTCAGAGAACTCAGCGTTCGATAGAGTCCCACGCAGAGCAGTGAGCTCGATGCGCCAGGCCAGCCGTGCTTATGTCCAACCAGCAGATCCTGTTCCCATTGTCAAGCTGATGACAGCAGAAACCCCAGAAAGTGTGTCCGAGTGCAGCTGGGTGGGCTCCGCCACCTCGAATGTCATAAAGGCTCCGACCCAGAAGGTTCTAGAAGGTGAGAGGAGGGATGCCCCAGTCCTCCACATCTGTGAACCCAAAACTGCAGAAGATGTGATCTTCCCTGACACTCTTGAGAAAAGCCCAAAAGCCCTCATGACCCTGGAGGATGAGGGGCTTATGAAAAGCCATGAAGACCCCTCTGGGAATGAAGACCTAGGTAGGGACAGTATCACCTTAGAAGCCCAGAAGGAGCCACCAGCTCAACACCAGCCTACCAAGCAGATGGGCCGGAGTGAAGTGGTTTTGTATGTTAAGAGTGAGCCTGTGCCCCAAGAAACCACATCAGCAGAGCGCAAAAAGGAAGCAGCTCCAAGGAAGCACAAGGTCCGTACCCGCTCCATGTCTGACTACACGGGTGCCTCTCAGCTTCAGGCCTTGGGGAGCAAGGACTCAGCTGAGCTGGAGCTGCAGGCATCCAAAGCTGACGGGCCCTGTGCAGAGCCTAGCATGCTGGACACCAGGGTCTCCGTTGCCCAGCTCCGAAATATGTTTCTGGAGTCTGCCAGAACCAGCAAGAAACCCGAACTGTAGGTGCCCTTTCACACACACTCCTGATGTCACACTTGCACGTCTTTGGCGGAATGATTCACTTCTCAACGTGTGTCGTGTCTTGCATTGAACTTTATTAGCTTAGCTCACTAGTGTGTGCAGGAAAAACTCTAGAGGAAATGGCTCACCAACTACCATTCTGCTTCTGCCTACTAATGGGGAGCTGGAGGAGGGGGTGTGGGATGCCCCGCCTTGTCTCTGCATGGTACAGGCATGCAGTGGGGTCTGTCACCTGTGCCTGACATGCATAAAAACCTCTGCTTTATTCTCTTTCCCTTTCTTTCTGTTCTCCCTGCTGTGCACCCTCTGCCCTCTGATTCTAAAAGTCAATCACGGGCTGAGCCATCACCCGGAGAAGCTGGCTTGCCCGCTGGTATGGAGCGGGAGAGAGGGTCCCGGAAACCGAGACGCTATTTTTCTCCTGGTGAAAGTAGGAAAACTTCTGAGAGATTTAGAACTCAACCTATAACCTCAGCAGAACGGAAGGAATCAGATAGGTAGGCATGTGTGCACGTAGTTTCATGTTCCAGGAAAGTAGAAGAAACCTTGTCCACCCTTAATTGATTCTGATATTATTTGTGTAGGATGTTGGCAATTCCATAATGTTTCCATTTAATCTACAAGGGATAATATTTGGCTTATTTTAAATGTGTTTTTAAAGAATTTGACTATTCCGGCGGTATCGCAGTATAGCCTTACATTACTTTCAGATTGTGAGAAATAAAAATTTTCTTTAATGGTAATTTCTTTCCAGTCATTTGAATTTGAATTGACTTTTCCCAAGATTGTCAATGAAAATAAGGAAGGATATTCATTTTGTAAAGAGTGTCTACTTGTACTTACATTTTTCTTATTATCACATGGGATTGCACAGACCTGATGTTTGTCAAAAGGTGTGTCATCAGTCCTGTTTAAATAGCCTGGTCCTGGCTGCTGTCCATAAGGTGCACACTTGCCTGGGATCGTGTGTGTCTGCACCCCGTGGTGTCTGTTAGCCACTGTACACGGCTCTTCACAACTAGAATAGCCACCAAGATGCTGTTTCGTAGGAGAGTTCGATTGCATCGCTTTGTCTACTTTTGACGTGATGTTTCACGTGGATCTCATACTCCCACCACTAATTTATTATTATCGTTTGCTAATATCTTTCTAGATATGCTTCAAGTTCAGAAATGCCACCTGCTGAGGGCAAGTATCTTTTTTTTCTTTTTCTTTGTTTTCATCTCATCTCAGACTTAAGTAATAAGATGTTTGGCTTCTTGAGAGAGTAAGATTGTAGTATCTGGCAGTTTCGTGATTCAGGTTTTTTCTATGACTATAATAAAACCTAGTGGAATTTTTGGATGAGTTTATTCATGTTTTTGAGAAGAATGGAGAAAATTCTAAGGCAAACAGTATAGAAACAAATAATTTGAATTTTTAAAAAAACAGGTTTTTCTTGTTACCGCTGCTACTTGACAGTAAGAAAAATTCCTTTCACGAATATGTCCTTAAATCATCATTAGTCAAATCACTGCCCAGACAAAACTTGGTGTGGTTCGGTTCCATTTGGTTTGGTTTGAATTGCAGTAGGAATTAGTCCTTTGAACTGATCAAAAAACCCCAGCCTCTTCCCGAGAGGAAAATATGTCCCACTGCTAATTTAGCTCATCTGTTCTTATGTACAAAAGATTTCCAGGTCAGTCTTAGATAACGTTCCAGAGGTGCTACTTCTACTTTTTAGTGAAGCTCTGTTTCTATTTCTTGGCTTTCACAGATGAAGAAAAGGTAGATGAACGAGCCAAGCTGAGTGTTGCCGCCAAGAGGCTGCTATTCAAGGTAAGGTGTGCAGAGGGCGTAGCTAGAAGACTTAGTCCCTGTAAATGGGGCTTCCAGGACTCTGGCCACTTGGTGCCCGTCTGTGACCGTCTCACCTGACCCACCTGTTGTTATTTTATTACGTTGCGCTAGAAAAAAAACACCTGAGCTAATCAACTTAGGGTTCCACCCTGTCCCAGTAGAAGCAGGACGTTGCGCTGTCCCAGTTTCCTTTCCTTGACTGTATGAGCACTCCAACATGATTCTAACCTTAGGAAATGGAGAAATCATTTGATGAACAGAATGTCCCAAAGAGACGCTCAAGAAATGCAGCAGTGGAGCAGAGGCTGCGCCGCCTGCAGGACCGGTCTCACACCCAGCCCATCACCACCGAGGAAGTGGTCATTGCAGCCACGTGAGTCTGCACGAGATTCCTCAGTCCGGCCTGGGCCTTGGGCCTGGCCAGCCAGAATGTCTCCTCTTGTTTTAAAAAGAAGATTTCAAGTGTTGGCATAAAATGAAGTGATAGGAGGATAGTTTAGCTGAAAGCCTCAAAGAAGGTGGGATTTCAGCATTTTCTTCATTGCAGTCCCTTAAGCTTTGTTTTAGGAAATTACCTATAGTAACTCTGGAAAAATGTTAAGGAATTTTATTTGTTTTTGCCCATGCATTTTGGGTGTTCCTATTTTTCTGATGAAAAACATAAAAGTTGATGAAAACAGATGAAACACCATGAACCTCTAGTTGTAGCAGTTACCAGTGCCTGGCCGGTCGGTCTTTCTCACCACACCTATTCCAGCTTTCCTCCTGCATTATTTTCAAGCAAATCCTAGACATTGTTTTGCCCATAAATATTTCAGTACATAGCTCTAAAATATAAATGTTTGTTTTGTTTTTAAATAATCGAACATACACACACAAAAAAATTTGAAAATGAATTGTCAGTTTGGTATTTTTCCAAACTATAGCACATCAGTTTTGAGCAATAATGTCCCAATACCTTCAAAATTATTTTTCTAGACTACAGTAATTCATTCTAAGATAATGGCTTTCACCACGTAAAAATGTGTGTTTTTTTTAAAGTGTTTTTGCAGAGTGTGAATAAGCCAGCAGGCCTCTGTGTTGAAATTCACTTGTGTGAACCTGTGTTAGGTCCATTTGCTTCATTTTTGTAGCACGTGTTCCTCAACTTCTCTTCATTATTGTTGTTATTTCCCAGTTCTGGGGATGGAACCCAAAGCTTTGCCTATGCTAAGCGAGCGCTGTATCACTGAGCTACATCCCCAGCCTCAATCTTTTTGTTTTTATAGATGAGTTCATTCTTGTGATTTTAGGAACTCTTAGCAAATCAGTTTGCTTAAAAAAATTTTTTTTTGAGTGACTGGAATAAGAAGCAGATACCCATGCAAGCAAAACAATAAACACAGGAAAAAAAATTTTTTTTTTCATTTTTTATGTATGTGGTATAGGGTCTCACTACCCAGCTCGGACTTGTGGTGATCCTCCTGTTTTCAGCCTCCCCAGCACTGGGATTACAAGCATGCACCACCATGCCTAGACTTGGTCACTGGCTCAGCATGCCCCAGGGGCAGGACTGGGGCAGCATACAGGACCAACGATCAAACCCTGGTCCCTGTGCTTGCCAAAGCAGGTACTTAGTCCACTGAAACACAGGAAAATTATTACCTTTTGATGTCCAATGAATGTTCTTTGATGTGCTTATTGATTATATGAGGTCACAAATTCTTTTTTTGTTTGTTTTTGTTTTGATTTGGTTTTTTTGCAGAACCAGGGATTGAACTCAGGCCCTTGCACTTGCCAGGGAAGTGCTTATTCTGCTGAGCCGTCTTCCTGGCCTTACAAATTCTTTTTAGCAACAGACTGAAAACCACATTCTAAAACATGGGCATAATCCATGGAATTACTAATGGCTTATATTAGCTTTTTTAAAAATTCTTAAAATGAGAATATTTATTTTAAAAACAAGAGGAAATCTTTTGCAAGCTCTGTCCCTATGCTTCTTCTGTTTACTTTGGGGTAGCCTCTGTCTCATCTGCTGCATTGCTTTTCAAGTTGGTGATTTTTGTTTTGCCCCAAAGTAATTAGCACATAATTTTGGTAAAAGAGTTGATTTAACATTGGTGAATTTAAGTCTATGCTTCCCCTAATGCTTCTTTTCTTCTCTCTCCTATGGATGTGCCTTTCTTTGGCAATTGCTATTAAAGTGAACCTATCCGTGCTTCACGTTCTGGGGCCGCCCACCCTGTAATGGCGAGACTTCCTAGTCCCACTGTAGCTAGGAGCTGTGTGCAGCCCACCAGGTACCGGACAGAGACAGCTGCATGTAGTCCCCGGGCCCAGGTGCTGGGCCGCAGGTGCATCTGAGAGCCTTGAATGCCTTTCGTGTGTGTGCGGACCAGTCAGTGCAGTGAGTTGTTCCCGAGACGTGTGGCATTCTGTGTTGTCATAGCACAAGGTACTGAAGGTCTGCATGAGCAAACATCGGATCCATCTGTCTGTGTCCTGTGTCAGCACTAGGGTCTCACTAACTTACTTACCCATTTGAATTGTTTCTATTTTTCATAATAATAAACATTTCTAAAAACCATTTCATTTTTTCATCTAAGTACTAGCCCTTGCAGATGACTAGAAAAGTGGACATTAACATGTAACTGAAATTCGGATAAGACTCAGGGTTTTTTTTTTTTTTAAACGTATTAGATACCAATACATACATTTTTTAAAATCCTCCCTGTTTCTAATTTATAAAGAGATAGTGTCATTACATTTTAGGATTGAGAAAATAATTTATGCTTTCTGAGCAGAGATGTTTTGCTATTGCGTTTGAAATTGTGGTTATTTTAAAATTATGTCCTCAAGCCATGTAAAAATTCCCTTTGTTTTACTGTTCCAAGTCAAAACACAAAGGCTAAAAATAAGACTCAAAGAACCTTCAATTAAATTGGAAGTGCCTCACCCAGAAACTTCCTCTGTCAGGGAACTAGGTTGTTGTCCTCCCAGTTTGAGGCACTAGACTCTGGAAAGACTGAGACTGGGGTGGCCTTTCCCACTGTCCTCGTTAGATACCTGACCCTGGTCTGGGACAGCCGTGAGTCTGTGATTAACTGGGACGAAGGCCGAATATACTTTTTACTAGGTTTGAGAATGAAATTTGCCAGTGGTAGAAGGAATCTTGTCTGAAAAACCTTTGGAGATTCACAGGGACCACATAAATTGGAAACCTCCTCTTCCACTGGATATTAGAGGAATTTATTATCATTATCATTTTTGTTGTTATTATTGTTGTCGTTTGTTGTACCAGGCATCTAGCAGGGCCTCACACTGCTAAGTAAGAGCTCTACCACTGAGCTATACTCCCATTCCTAGTTGGAAGGATTTATAATAACTTGAAAGCTATCATAACCTGAAAAGTTACTGGGAATTCAACTTAAATACCTTTTAAAAGGATGATAGGAACCTGGTGGGAAAAATAAGTTATGCTGAAAGTTTAAAGTTATAAACTTGCATTTGGCAACTGCAAATCAAAACCTATGTTTCAGATCAGGCTAGTCTCAGATGAATGTATTTGTTAATTATTTACTTCTGAAACACATGTTTAGAGAACTTTATGCCCTAGTAATGCCTTACCACTCCTTTTATCCCTATTTATTATGATACTAACAATATGGCATCTCTCTAAGGTAAAATAAACCCAAGCCAATTTTGGCTCATTAAAGAGGAAATTTACTTTTTAGAAATCATTCAGGACTAAGAATCTGCTTGTTCTAAAACTATAACACTAGTATCCCAAACCAGCCTCTGCTATTCATTTACTGCCTGACCCACTGCAAAAATAAGCACATTGCAAAATTAAGTGACACTTGGAAGAAAGTTAAAAGAAAAAACTTGGGGCGCGCTTTTGTTGTTATGTGTGCCGCTGACTTTTCATCCTTTCCTTTCAGGTTGCAGGCATCTGCTCACCAAAAAGCTTTAGCCAAGGACCAGGCAAATGAGGGCAAAGATTCCGCTGAACTAGGAGAACCTGATTCCTCCTCTCTGAGCTTAGCGGAGAAGTTGGCCTTGTTTAACAAATTGTCCCAGCCTGTCTCGAAAGCCATTTCTACCCGAAACCGAATCGACATGAGACAGAGGAGGACAAATGCCCGCTATCAGACCCAGCCAGTCACACTCGGCGAGGTGGAGCAGGTGGGTGCTGGTCTTCCCAGCTCGCGTGTGGGCCCTTCAGTGCCAGCAGCTGGTGTTGCTCTCAGGTCAGTGCCCTAGGTAAGGTGATCTCGCAGCAGACTGTGTCACCGAGGGCTGACTGGGGAATCGTTTCATCCCTAGGGAGGATAACCACGCTAAGTATGTTTCTCTGGTCTTCATAACTTGCTTTCAAAATCATCTGGAATGAGGCCACTGTGGAGAGAAAAAGTAATAAGTATAACCTACTTTGCGGCCAGAAGGTCCCATTAGAGGTGTGTTACGTAACCACGTGCGGGATGGTGTTCTAGTGAAGTAAACTGCGCAGAACGCAGTATTTCGGTCCGCCAGCTCGCAGCCCAGCCCTTGCGTTAGCTTTCGGTCGGTGTTTATTTGTTCTCTGTGTCCCCCCCCCCAGGTGCAAAGCGGGAAGCTCATCCCTTTCTCACCCTCTGTGAGCACCTCTGTGTCCACATCATTCTCCACAGCCACCCCCATGTACGCAGGGGAGCTTCGGACAAAGCCACCCGCTGATGACAGTGCAGGTGCCACTGCTGCTGCGACGTTTCCTTCCCTAACAGAAAATTCAGACTCTCCAGTTAGAAGCATTCTGAAGCCCCAGGCGTGGCAGCCTGTGGTGGAGGGGAGTGGGAGCAAAGGAATGTCGAGAGAATGTGCAGAGACAGAAAGCCAGGGAGCTGTGACAGCCAGGGATGGTGGTGGTAAAACGCACAGGTCCTCGGAGGAAGCAGAGCTGTCGTCCTCTGCCCTCCTGGGCCAAGCCTGGGAAGGAGACGGCCACCAGGAACCCAGATACCCAGTTCCAAGGAAGGGAAGCCTGGAGCTCACTGTTGCCCCTGCAGCCCCCCATGGTGATGAACTGAAGGAATTTTCCACCAGGAAAAGCAGTGTGCAAGAAAGCCCCGGAGCGGAGGACAGGCCACCCTTTGAAGACAAGGTGGATGCAGAGAATGCCTCCAGAAGGAGGCTTTCACTCAGAGGTAAATTACCACTGTGCCTGGAGTTTCAGAAAACAACAGGGTGTTTAGTCCCTGTTTGATTTGTTGTCCGAGATGGTGATGCCTTTTAACTGAGTTGTAAAGGCTTTTTACTGCTATAGACGGGTCAGGAGTTCAGGGTGAATCATGTTCGCTCTTCCCCTTCTGGTATGCGCAGCAGATGAGTCAAATCTTGAGCAATAAAATGACCAAAGCCCTTTTACACACTCTGATAAGTGCTTCCTCTGGCCCTGACGTGCACTCTATGACAGCTCTAATGGCACTCTGACAGCTCATGGCTGATGGCACAGAACTGGGTGTGCTCTGGTCTGAGTGAGGACTTGGGTCAGTCTCTTCTTTCTAGTCCGCTTTTTTGGGAGGGGTTGGGGGGAGTCCTGGGATTGAACCTAGGAGGCACTGAGCTGTATCTCCAGCCCTTTTTTAATGTCTTACTTTGACATAGGCTCTAACTACATCGCTCAAGCTCACCTCTAACTTGTAATCCTCCTGTGTCAGCCTCTGCTGCTTTCTAGCCAGCCTCCTGGGCTACTTTTGCTTTCTATACTCCTGTTTTGCAGAGTGGTCAGCTGGACCTCATGGCAGTTTAATCTCCTTTCTGTTTAATGTGGTGATACAGTAAATTGCGGCAGAGGTTTGTGCTTGGGAGTGTAGCACATTTGAAACAAAAGTATTATTTTGGAGAAGTAGAAATGTTCCACAGTGTATAGTGAAAGCCTGCATCCTATGTCTTGCACACAGGAGAGACTCTGATTGTCACAAAGCAGTGTGCTGTGTTGGAAGTTTGCATGCAGCCATGCAGCCTGGCTGGTGTGCCATGTGCCCACGGATTGGGGTCCAGAACTGTCCTGTCTGGAGTGGATTTGCTCGAGTATTCCTAGAGGAAGACAGATACTGAGGTTGTTTCTTCTCTTTCCAGCAGCAGAGTTTGGGGAGCCTGCTTCTGAGCAGAGTGGGACAGCCGCCCCTGGGAAACCCACCACTCCGGCGGCAACCCCCAGCTCCTGGAAGCAGCAGGATTCCTCTGAACAGTTACAAGAGAAGTACTACAAGAGCACGAGTACCATGGTTGCGACTGGAGAGATCCAAGTGCCAACCGGAGAGGGCGCCCTGGACTCACCCAGCAAAACGATGTCAATTAAAGAGAGGTAATGGAAGCTCGTGGCGGGAGAACAGTTCTCCTGGGTAGGAGCCTACAACCTGGCTATAGCAAAACCTTTGAGTAGTGAACCAAGAGGTGGATGCACAGGTCAGAGGATGGATGGAGACGTGCTATGATAGAATGACTGGAAAGTAGAGGTGTCTGGGACTCAACTGCATTTATCCCAGCACCTGGTTTACCAATGCTAAAGGCAGCCAGCTCGATAATGGAGCAACCAGAAACAGATTTTTGTTTGGTTCATTTATTTGTAGTCCCAATTTCTTCCTTTCTTTTCTTTCCTTTTTTGATATCAAATTCTTTGCTTACCTCCCGATGAGAGCTCAAATGTGAGCTCTTTTCTTTCAGAGACACATGATTCAAAGCAGCAACACAAGCCATTCTGTGATTGTGTAAAATAAGTATCCAGAGAGTGAAGATAAATTCATGTGTAGTATCTATAGCTTTGGGTTAGAATCTATGTTTTGTTTATTTTATTGGAAATAAGATAAATGGCTTTCCTGAGTAGTATTTCAAAGTTCTGTTTGGTTTGCAGCGCGAGGGACCTAACCCAGGGCCTTGTGATGCTGGACAAGTGCTATGCCGCTGAGCTATGCCCAGAAGTTTTCTATCAGACAGTAGCTTTGAATGGTTACAGTGTTGATATAGTTAAGTGTCAACACTTTGGCCTCCTTTCATTCAAAATGTAATGTAGCTTTGAAAGAACACATTTCAGAGGAGGGATATAGAGAGGAGGAACTCAGTTATTTGGAGGATATAGTTTTCTCATTAGCCTTTAACTACAGTTGATTTAAGCTGCAGGTGATACAACAGTGGTAGAAATTGAATGAAGAGATGTCAAAGCACCTGCCCAAGGTCATCAGCAGAGCCACTTCCAGTGCCTGTTCCCATGGTGGTGCCAGCCCAGATCCTCCCTGGCATCTCCACCAAGGTGGAGTTCTCTTGCTCTGTCAAGCTTAGGCCCCTCTCACTTTTCTAGATCTCTTTCAAGCTACCTGAGACTCTGTGCCCAGCCACAGTGAAAATTCTTTGATTTTTTAAGGCACATTTTGGGAACATTAGTTGTAATGTGTCAGAGCCATGGCCTAGGACCACTGATCTCCCATTCAGTGGTAGGCTGACAGAATAAAACATAGACAAGAGATACATAGGTTTTAGTTACAAGGGGCCAGCAGGGTGGTCAGAATCCATCCTGAGACCCTGTGGTTCAGTGTCCTTAACCTTTATTAAGTACACAGCTTGATTAGGGGTATGCTAGTGGGCTGCAGGAAGTGAGAGGATGAGCTGCTGACACTGTCAGGGTGCAAGACTTGAGGAACAATGCATTTTTGGAAAAGCACAGCGGAGCAGATCAGGGTTAACCAGTAACCTGATTGTCTGCTCACCGCGACTATTGAGCTAGAAGGAATCCACGCGAGTCAAGTCCTCAGCGGCCATTTTTCTTTGCTTTGAGGTGCCAGAGCTTTGCAGACTGCTTGCCACTTTCAGCTCTAGCTGTTGGCTTAAAGATTAACCTGTCCTTAAGCCAGCCAGGGAGTCTCACCACAAGTCCTGTAGGCCTAGGCCAGACTCTTGATCTATTCCTGTGCCAATTAATAAATATTGATTATTGCCTGCTCTATACCATGTCAAGCTGTTCCTCTGTAATAAAATATTAAACAGAGTGTAGCTTTTTTTCAACAGACAAATTAATAAGATAGTTGAATCTTATTTGCATCTACCATTAATTATTTAAAATGCACAATAAATGAGACCCACCAGGCTGAGGAGGTGACAGAGAAAGGAGTCTGCACTCACAAATGCACTCTGGCCTACGTAAGTCCCTCTTCTACAGAAAATTAGGCTCATATTTTGATCCCAGGGATCTAAATACCAATAAAAGGTAAACATCATTTATACAGTGCTAATGTTTTATTTATCTGCAAACGTTCCTGGGATAACAATCTCAGTAGGAAATACTCTTACACTGTCATCTTTCAAGGGCTTTTACAGGGACCCATGTCTTTGGATACACCCTCTCTCCTGAGACTTAGGGCCTTATATAAAGAAGTTCTGTGTCTGTCCTCTGTACAGTACTTCTTGGTGTATTTCTCTCTCTTAATAAACTTTAGTTGATTTTGATCTTTCCAAAGGTAGTTTTAACCCTCCTATACATTTTTTAGTTTTTGAACTCAAATATTGTAAAGGTTTCATTGCTTTGCTTGGTTTGGTTGGACATCTGAGAAGCTCAAGGATTACTGTAGGGTCTCAAGTGTATTCAAAGTTGAGTGTGGGGTCAGTGAGATAGCTCCGCAGTCTAAAGTGCCTGCTTAGGCAAGCTTAGGCAAACGCACAGGGACCGCAGTTCAATTCCCAGCCCCACATGCCACGCTAGCCCTGCCTCCAGAGCAGGCTGACTGCCACCAAAAAAAAAGTAGAGTGTGTACAGCAAATACCTAAGGATCAGCAGGGGCTGAGCAGTCATTGCATGAGAGAGGCTCCTGACCAGCTCTGCTCAGAATCTAAGTGAAATAGATGGAGGTTCAATTTATTTTGCTTACCTTCCTTTCTTCCTTCCTTTTTTTCTTTCTTACTCTTCTTTCTCTTTTCCTCTTTTTCTTTCTTTCTTTTTCTCTTTGCCCCCCACCCCACCTTTCTGTCTGTCTCTCCCTTCCTCCCTCCCTCCCTCCACTGAGCATGAGGCAAGCACCACATCTTCAGCCTAATTGTTAGAATCTCCATTTGAAAAGGGATGGAGAGCACTTTATTTAACCATTATGTTTCTCATAAGTTATGTTAATACAGAATGTATCACCACTGATCTCTTCCCCTTTCCTCGATAATGCTTTTTTTGGTAGTTTATTGAAAATGGCAAAACTGCTTAACTTTACAATCTTTTCACAGCACCTTCTACCTACGTGAGGCTCTAATCTCTTCTTGTCAGTTTGAAAGGATGAAGTTTGGCTCATTTATAACATTGTTCATTTATTTAGTTGGGCTTTACCTTTCTTTCTTGCAGATAACACAAAATCAGAGGACATTTAAACCCCGTGCCTGCTTCTTTTTACCCGTGCAAGGTTGCATTCCAGAGCCTCCAGGTCCTACAATGAATAGATCTCATCCCAGTCTCTGCCATGTTCAGGAGACTGCCCCACCATGTTAGTTCTGGTGTTTAGCAGCTAACGATACTCAACAACATAATAATGGGACAGAAATTGTGCCTATACATCAGTTTTAGAAATTTTCACCTGCTTCTCTGTTAATTTTCTCACTTCACTTATGCGTCTTGCTGTGTTGAATCCTGGGCTCAAACAGTTCTGCTACCGCAGCCTCCCTGTAGGGACAAGCACCTGGAACTAGAGGTGCTTGTCCCCACAGCCAGGTCTCCCACATTGTTGCCATGCTTGTGTCAGTTACATTTTCACTTTAGAACTGGAGCTTCTGAGGAGAGCCCAGAGAGCACAGATTCCCTTTTTCCTGTCTACTAAATAGCTGTGCCTTGAGGCACGCAGCCCTCTGTTACTGAATCGCGTGTGGCCTGTGCCTGCCCCGATGGGGTTGTGACTATAGAAAGTTTTCCACATCCGGTGCCACTAAGGGTCCTGTCCTCTTCTAAGGCCCTAAGCACTCAGGAGGTAGTGTTTCATCTAGTGCTAACAAGGTGGCAGTGTTTCCTCATTTGTAGATAAAAAGCATAAGAACTGGCTGGGGGGATAGTTCAGAGGTCTAAGCACCTGCCTGGCAAAGATCTTAGTTTGATCCTCAGTACCACATGTCGTGCTGGCCCTGGAGCCCCAGGCGCGCCATGCCAGCCACCAAAACCAGGCGTGGTAGCACATGGCTGTAATCCCAGCACTGGGGACGCTGAGACAGGAAGATCATTACAAGTCCTAGCTGCATAGCAAGACCCTGTACCAAATAAATAAATAAATAAATAAATAAATAAATAAATAAATAAAATTTCATTATTTATTTTTGTATTTTAGGGAAGAGTCTACAGGATTTTCAGGTCTCACTACTAGATCAGACTCTTAGTGATCTGCCTGTTTACAGCCTCCCACGAGCTGGGATTACAGGCACGCACTACCATGCCCTGTCTCAATTGCCCTCTCAGTGCACCCTGAGGGTGGGGCCGGCATGGCAGGCCTAGAGATCCAACCCCTGCCCCTGCACCTGCTTGCAGGCACTTTAATCCGCTGAGCTATTTGGCCAGCCCAAAATTTAAAAGTAATAATAATAGTAAAAGTATAAGAACTAAGAAATGCTAGGAAATTCTCCCTATACTCCCCTTTTAGAATGTATGTTGGATGCTTATAAAAACATCTAAAAGTTTCTTTTATATTTGCTGACATCTAAAGTATCATTTGAGGGGCCGGGGAGATGGCTCAGTGGAATAAGCGCTTCCCTGGCAAGCGCAAGGGTCTGAGTTCAATCCCCAGTTCCGCCAAGAAAAAAATAAAAATAAAAAAGTATCATTTGAACTCTAGCACAAAATTTAGGGTGCAATTTCCTTTTACCACAAGAGCAGTTAAAAACAACTATTTTATAACTGTCTAAATGATTTGGTTCAGATTATCCCTGTCTGGGAACTTCTTCAAAAATTACCATGAATGACATAACTCTTCTGTTATTTGGAGATAAACCCGTCAGTGCCTCTTAAAACACAAACTGGGCCTTTAGAAAGCTTATTTCTGCATTTACAGAACTATCTGCTTTCATGCTGGGGAAAAGATGACAGAGAAAGGGTGAAAGAGCTGCCACTTGAACACTCAGGGAACTGGGCAGAGCAGAAGGCTGGAGTGGAGCCCCCGGGTCCCCAGGTACATGGGAGAGGACCATGGGACAGGGGTCCCTTTGCTCTCCCGTCTCACATGTCTGATGTGTTCCTGTCCTCATCCATTTTCTGTTGCTGTAACAGAATACTTGAGACTGGCTAATTAGTAAAGGAAAGAAGTTTGTTTTAACTCGCAACCCTAGAGGCTAGGAAGTCAGATCTAGCCACCACACCAGGTCTTGGGCTGCTTCACAGCCAGAAGGGAAGCTGGCCCGTGTCCTGGGGCGGCAAAACCTGAAGAGTGGCTTCCCCCTTTGGATAGCAAGCAGGACCTCACTCCTAGGCGAAGGGCATAAACCCTGTTTGTGACCTGAGCCCCTCTTCGCAGGCCCACTCCCCCTGCTGCTCAGGCTTAGCGTGGGTGGGGTCCTGGCTTTCAATTCCCCAGCACCAAGGGTAAATAAATAAATACAAATGCATGGAAAAGGTGTATGAGCACCTATAGCCTGCACACTAGCCAAGACCAAGATCCAAGTCCAAGTACGAACTGGTGCTGTTGGGCTCTATCTAGGTCTGTGGGGTTGCCTACGTTGCTCTAACATGAGAGAAAACTTCTAAGGAGAGAAAGAATATACCTTATTTCTATTTTAGAGGCATGTATTTGCCTATGCCATATTTGACCCAGGCCTGACTATTCTGAGCTTGAAAAATCTGCTCTAACCAGGGCTCTCAGGCCAGAATTCCCTGGTGGAAAAATGTGGGCTCTGGCAAGAGGCACGGACATTTCCCGAGTGACCTGGTACCACATGTCCAGCTGGCCCCAGGCCAGGTTTGGGGGTTAATAGGCCAGTGAAGTACACCACTGGGTCCTCAGCTTCCGACTAAGCACATGCCTAGTTCACGACATCACAGCCTTGCAAACTGCCCTTGGACTTGGCAGAGTGTTTAAGTCTGACAGTTGTTTGGATTACACGTCGGCCCAGATGTATGGCCCTGTCCGTGGATGATCATCTGTGGTGTGTGTGAGGCTGTGAGACTGCAAGAGGACAGGACATTTTGGGGAAGACTTCCTGTCCCCCTTTGCTTATGAATTGCCAAGTAGAAAATCTAAAGAAATTGGAGCAGCACACTTGGGTTGTAGCATATGCTGTTTTGAAGTTACGCATCATTCATACTACGTAGGCGAGGGCTGGGTCCAAGGACCCTGTGGGCTCAACTGAAGCACAGCTTCTTCCATATTATTTTGGTTACTCTGTAGACCTGGGAAGTCCCTAACAATGACCCTGCCAGTGCATCTAGAAGTAAAATTTCAGGGCTTCAGAATGGAGGAATGCTTCAAAGGCCATCCAAGGAGCGAGTGTGGAGCATGTTCTGAGAGAGTACTGACTGCAAGAGCCGGGCACAAATGTGTCTGCTCAGCTAATGGAGGAGGCAAGTGAAATGAGCTGTCCACTGGGGGACAGGGGGGAATCACGTCTCTCTGTGCCACTGACCGACATGGGGCCTTGCTCATCTCTGACACCAGTAAGCTGTCTGTAGGCATAACCTGTCTGTCAGGAGGAGAGGAACAGTACCCAGTTTCCCAGAGGCCACTGTCATTGCTTCCAGCCTTTGGGAACTTCATTGAAGAAGGTCTTTCTGACTGTAACTCATCATGTTTAATAAGCTGAACTCATGGGATGAATTTGCTTTTTATCCCTTAAATCATTTGGGATCCAGTCTGACTAACCAAGTGTACGGTCAGGATAAATAACTACTGTGAGTCAAAGGTCAAGGAAGAGACACAAGCTAGTTCTGAGACAAGTTTGTAAGAAGACAGCAGATGAGGGCAAGCTTCCTTCACAAAACAAGGGTGAGGGACTCTTCGCCTGAGTCTTAGGGGCATGCTCCTGTTCTAATGTCTTATTTATGGATACTTTGAGAACTTTGAAAGCTCTGACACAGAAAGCGGGCACTAATGACTTCTTTTATTGGTTTAATTTTGTGAAATTTTTTTTTCTTAGAGTAACACCAACTCATTCAAAATAATTGGAAAAGAGATAAATAATTAGGCATTATCAGTACACAGTGGAGACTAAAACACTTAAAGGACTTTAGATGTTATGTTCCAGAAACTAGTCCTTGAAGCGTGTTGAGTGCTCTAAACATTGAATTTATGACATTTAAAACAATGGAGCCTTGATGTGGGCTCTGCCTTAGACAGATGAGAGAGCATCACAAGCTTTGTAGAATGGGCATGTGGGGTCTCCCTTCTCTACACAGCAGAAAAGAGTGACTAGAAGGAAATAAAAGGAAGAGAATGAAGAAGAAGGTCAGAACCAAAGTGCAGTGCTCCTAACTCCTTTTGGGGGTGTTCTTTATGTCTTATTTTTCACTCTGACCAGTGTATGTGCTGGGGGTTGAACCTAAGTCCTCAAGCATGTTAAATCTGTGCTCTATCACTGAACTGCACCCCTAGCCTTGAACTCGTGTTTAAGTAATACACAATTTGTCTTATTTGTTAACAAGATTTATCACACTATGTACCATCCTATTTCCAATACAAGTCTTTAGTGCAATCAGGAAACTTAGCGAAGGGCCGTTAGAGATCTGGGGGTCCAGTTCCTGATAGGACAGATACAGCAAGCAGAACCGAGATGCCCAAGTGGAGATGATAGCCAGGCTTGTGGCTGGAGCTGCTGCGCTGCTGCGTACCAGTGTACGGACCGGGGACCGATGCTGAGATCTAGCCCGCCAGCCTGGCTGAGAAGGGCAGAGGTCCAGCCTGCTCATGCCTCAGATTGTTTGAACATCAGCTCCAGTAATTTCCTATGACCACCACTTTTTTTGCCTTTTATCTCTTCCATGTTTGTCCAGCTTAAATTCCCAAGACATACGCATTTTAATACAGTTAACTAAAATAACATGATGTTCCTGAAAATGGCTTTTCAAGATTACAGTCTCAGGGCTAGGGAGCCAGCTCAGTGGAATAAGTGCTTTACCTGGCAAGCTCAAGGGTCCTGAGTTCCATCCCTAGTACTGAAAAAAAAAAAAAAAAAATTACAGTGTCTAAGCAGCTTTATAGCCAGTCAATGAAAGTAGGTTAGATAAAAACCTTAGCTAATTAGATTCTTTTTTTGTGTATCTCTTGCCCTTGGGGAAAACTGAAGTGATAGTTTTTAAAAATGGGTTTTATAGATCTTTTGGTATTAAGGTACATTGGAAAGACCAAGTTCATTTGGAAGAAAAGAACAAGGCTTAACATAGGAAGAGACATTATAAAGGCTATAATTTTCTTTAATTGAAATGTGCTTCCATGTTTTTCATTGATTTTAATATTTGTGTTTTTAAACCCACTGTGTGATATATTCTGTAAAGAACTACACAATTTTCATAATCTAATGTCATTCCAACAAGTGACCAGAAGGGGTCACTAAAAGACATTTTTCACCTGGGATGGTTATTTTGACCTCTTGTTCTCTCAGCCCAAAAGCAAGGAAAAACCAGAACCATTTCTTTTTTTTTTTTTCTTTCTCCAAATGCCTTCAGGGCAGGTTTGGCTAGCTTGAGCTGTGGGGATCGAACCACAGCAATCTGAGCCTGACTGCTTTGTTGAAGCAGCCACTTAAAGAACTGAGCTAAGGGGCAGGCTCCCCCCCCCCATTTCTTTACTAGAGTGGTAAAACATGTTTTTCCTGGCAGTCAGCTTTGAACCAGAATTTTCACTCAGCTGTAGAGATCTTCAGGATCACCTTAGAGAGCACCTTTGCTCAGTCTGAAGCATTCAGTGCTGACTTTATGGCTGGTGTGTTTTCCTCCTAGACTAGCACTGTTGAAGAAGAGTGGCGAGGAGGACTGGAAGAACAGGCTTAACCGAAAGCAGGAGTATAGCAAAGCATCCACCACTAGCAGCCTGCATATCCAAGAGGTGGAGCAGTCGCTGAAAAAGAAGGTAATGTTTTCCATATTAAGAAAAAGCATTCTAATTAACATCACGCTTGGAGGTACGCCTGGAGACAAGCATGTGTGGTTTACTAATCCCACTTGTGGAGCATTAGTGCTCCATCCTCCTTGGGCTGAGCACCTCGTCTGTCTCAAATTTGCTTAACTCCATCAAGAGGGCAAGTATTAGGGTATTATGGAATTGATAACAGCATCGTAGTTAAGGCCTTGGCGAGCAAGGGCCTAAGTTTTAAATTGTACACACAGTTGAAAACTTGCATAAGTGAAGTCTAGCTTTTAAATGTGGATCAAATGAAAGACTTTACTTCCCTGCTAACAGCTATACAGTGCATTTGACATATGGACTTGCATTTCCTATGCAGAGATTTAAGACTGGAGTATAAAAGATAAGGACATCTTTGCGGTGTGTGAGCGCTTCTTCCCAACTGGCAGCCTGCTTCATAATGAGCAGGCATTCCCTTCTAGACAGCGCACAGCAACACCTGTGATGAGTTTAAATAAAATCAACTCAGTCCTAGTGATCAATACTCGCAAGCATTTTGTATGCAAGAGCATTGAAGAGTCGTTCAATTACAAAGGTAACAATGACCGGCCTTTGACCAGCTGTGCACACTTTCACAGTTGATGGTGACATCCACCCTGGCTGGCCCTCTGACTCCCAATGCGCTTGCTGGCTGGAGGCAAAGTGACAGCGTGTGAGCCAGGCCTGCTAGCCAGTGTCTAGGATTTAAAGTCTTTAAACAGAAAAGAAAAAGCCCTAACGAGTTGGTCGCATGGACCTCTTATAGTTTTAAAATAAAGTATCTCAGCCGGCAGTGATGCTGTAGACATGCAGTTCTAGCTGTGCTGGAGACTAAAGTTGGAAGCTCATCAGAGCCTAGGAGTTCAGAACCAGCCTGGGCAGCGGAGCAAGGCCCCATCTCAAAAATGAAGTAAAATAAGCATCTATGAAAGAGGAAAATTAGAAAGTGCCTTCTATATATTACAGAACTTACATAAAAATGAAACATATTTACTGTGAGTCAGGAGCCTGACCTTACTTTTATGGTACTTCTGTGTCCACACAGAGGACACTGCAATAGCAATTTGAATTCTCTTTTGTGGTACTGAAGATAATAACTAAAGACATAAGTTCTCAGCTATCCCGAAAACACTAAAATGTAGACCTGTGAAATGTAGATTTCAGGGTAAAAGAAAGCTAGATCCATCCAATACAGTAATGTATCCTCCTATCCCACAACCTTTATTTTTTTATTTTTTTTAATATTTATTTATTTACTTATTTATTTAGTGTGTGGCCAGCTCAGCCCACCAGGGGGCGGGCGGGCCAGCATGTGGTGCTGGGGGATTGAACCAAGGTCTCTGTGCTTTGCTTGAGCTTAGCTTGTTCTAAATAGGTGCTTTAGACCACTGAGCCATCTCACCAGCCCATCCACAACCTTTATTTAAATGAATCCCGGAGCTAGAGGTAGAGCTCAGTGGGAGAGGCCTTAGCTCACATGCCTAAGGCCTAGGGTTCAACATCTGTCACTGTAAATTAAAAAGAATCTTGAAATTGTTAACTCAAAACCAACTTTGCCACAGAGTTCACTACCAAAGGAGTTCACGCGCACATGATGGCGCTGAGCAGTGGCCAGTATCTTGCAGGGCCCCAGGCCTTCAGGAGCTGAAGGCTCCCTATAGCCAAGTGAAAATTGAAATGAAGCTAAAAAGCACAAAATGAGACAGAATCCCTGGGGATGACGCTGCCTACTTGAGAGACCCAGGATTCCTCTGAATGCCAGAGGCCGTGGGCAGAGGATGAGTCAGAACTACCCATACACACTGCTAAGATTTAGAGAAGGCCAGAGCTATCAGGTCACCCCTGCAGTCGTCCTTAAGCCCTACTGGGGCACAAGTATGCACTGCTCTGAACTCCTGGGTGTCACTGATACCGCAGCCCCTGTGAACTCATTCCTGCACTCCTTGGCTGCCTGGTCCACTGTGGCTTCAAACAATAAGCTCTTTGAAGTTCAAATAAGCCAATCTATTTTGGGATCTTCACTGCTGACCTTGGGGAATCTGAAGTTCAGTTGACATCTCGTGGTTTTCAGCCAGCCTGTGACAGCACCCGGGTTCACTGCTTCATGGGGTCTGGCCACATATTTCAGAGCCCCCTGTGCTGTGCTCAGGCCAGGTGTCCTATGTGAAGAATGGCCTGTCTGATGACTGTCCTGGAGGAGGAATGGCCCTGGACCAGTGTATGCCAAAGGGGGTTGTGCATGGGTCCTTCTGAACTTGCCCCGGGCAGAGCTGCCTTTAGGGCAGGGTCTGGAGCTTTCCATTCTTACTATCCTGACTAGAAAGGAGCTGGACTCCTGGTCAGGGTCATCACTTCCTTCCTAATCTTTCAATTTACCAAACAGCATATATCTGTGGTTTCCAAAAAGTCTGTAGCTCATCCTCCTCCTGTGTGCGATTTAAGTCACAGCTCTGGGAGTACAAGAGGAGAAAGACGTAGTGAGGAGCTAGAAGGTCAGCTTCATGGCCCCTGTGAAACTCATGCAACACATGTGTTGGTAATAAAAGTATAATGGCAACCTGGCCCATAAGAGTGTAATGGAAGCCACACAGACAACTTAAACGTTCCAGTTGCCACACTTAGAAAAAGAATAGGAAGCCTTGAAAATCTGTGACCATCCTATTTCTGTCAAAGAGTTGTCCCATCAGAAAAGACACTGAGGTGCGGCTCCTTTGCAGTCCTTTATGGCAGGACTGTTTTGGACCATAAATAGCTTGTAGAGAGCCAAGAGATTTCCTTTGAGGTGTAAAATTTCAGTTAGGTCTTAGGAAATGTGGAACTTAGAAGCAGTTCCTTGCCTTCCAGTTTCGTGCCTCTCAATCATCAGCATTGATGATCTGAACTGAGGAGCACTAATTATTTACCCAGCTGGCTGTCACTTGCTATGAAAAGTCACTTAGCTTCTTTCTTTCCCTCCCCCTACTGTCGCCCTTCTTATCTTTCTCCCGTGCTTGGTTTGCTCCAGGCCAGGCCAGTGCTCATCTGACTTAAATGGTTTTGCTTCTGCAGTACAGGCAGCTAGTGCCAAAGGCACCAGCGCCATGTAGCTTGTAGATTTGGCCTGGTCCACACTGCATGGGACGCCTGCTCCTGAGCATGATTTGTGTGTTGTTTCCTCCAGTTAACTCATTCTACTGGAGAGAGGAAAAAATGAAATGACAGAATCTTAGAGAAGGTTTCCCAGAGCCTCTTTGTTACAACCAAATTGCAGGTTTTGTTTTCACCAAAAAGTTATCTTAAATTCCAACAGTTCAGCCTGTTTGACATTGTGGCATCCGTGGTGACTCTCCCCTAAATATCCAGGGCCTGAGCGTGTAGACTGATGGTCGAGCACTTGCCCAGCATTAATGAGGCCCTGGGTCCGAACTGCAGGTTGGAGGTGAGGGGTCTGATCTAAGCAAGGAAGGAAGGGTAGTACAAGCCTATGTCCTATTTACTCAGACTGAGGCAGGAGGAGCCAAGTTTTAGGCCAGCCTGGGCAAGTCACTAATGCCCAGATTAAAAAAAAAAGGTCTGGGGATGTAGCTCAGTGGTAGAATGCTTACTGACATATATGAGGTCTTGGATTCAATCCTGAGTAGCTAAAAAGAAAAAAAGAAAAGAGGTAATTATTCAGTGAAGCGGTGTGGCTGACATTACCAGGAAACATTAAAACTCTTGCACTTGTTTTGGTTTTATCATCAGTACTGGTGCCTGAGCTCAGTGCCTTTCAAAGAGCTACATCTTCAGCGCTTTGAGTTGTTTATTTTGAGACAAGATCTCACTAAGCTGCAAAGTTCTGCGGGCTGGGCTCAAACTTACAATCTTCCTGCCTCAGCCTCCCAAAGTGTTGGCACTACAGGAATGGGCTACTCTACCCAGCTTGTTCCTGAATCCCAGATGAAAACTGGATATCCCACCATGCTTCAGTCCTGATCCAGTCAGTGAATGCAGTTAAAATCTAAAACATCTCCCAACAAGTTCCTTGAAATTCAAGGAAGGCAAATCTGCCATTCATGTTCCCTTCTGTCACTGGAATTCCAAGTCTTAATTGAGGGGAATGAAGCTCAGAGGGCAAGGGTGGGCAGGCAGGAGTGCAAGGCTGGTGTGATGACCTCCAAAGGCAAGGTCACCATCTTGCCTCTGGGAATGAGTTTCCTTGGGGTTCTTGCTGTGAACACTGGGTTGGGAACACCTGCATGCTGCTGGATGAACCAGGCATGAGCACTTGGAAATGACGGGCTACCCTAACCAGACTCTTCTCCTGCAACCCTCTGCAATGTCTCCATTTGTTTTAACCTGTAGGAAGAAGGAGGATTTACAGATGATAATGCCATGTCTAATCTGCTTTGGGTAAGCCTGACTGGAGCACAGAAGTCCTCCTGTAACTGAGTGCAGGGCGCTCCCCCGGATGAGTGCAGAGCCCACAAGCAAGCCCAGGAGAGAAAAGGGTGAAGGAAAGTTTACTACTTGCAGGAATTCTCTCCCTAGAGAGAATTCACAAAGCAGTGTCTCCCACAACAAGCAAAGAAGGGGCTGTGGCCGTGGAACCCCGTCTGTGTTCATATGGGAAGGACGCCTCATCCTGCATAGATGCAGGCACATTACTGAGCATGCTCAGTCAAGGTCACATGTCTCATGCTTGAAAATGTGGGAGACAGAATGCCCCTCCCAGGCAGAGAATTGACTATAATGAGCCAAATTTGAGTCACCTACCAAGAATGAGTCAGACTGACTCAGAGATTTTGGCTTGTTTCTTGTTTCTCTGAAAGGCTTGTTCTGGAAGAAAAATAAAACTTTGGAGGTCATATAAAGGGACAAGAGCTTGTCCCCCACAAGAAAAAAATGATTATCCCTGAAAGTACCAGCCCATCAGTCAGCACGCCTTTACTGCGCTGGGTCTAACTCGGATCACAGAGGCTCCCCCGGTGCCTTCCTGTCTGGTTTTC